TTACATTATATGGTGTTTTTGGGGTGGTAAATTATGCTAATCTCCTCTCGCGTGCATGAGCAGCTGGATACGAACAGGTGGAATTTACGCAGCTCATTTACACACTTTTCCTGAAGATAGAAGAGTTTGTTGAATCTGACGTGGCATGTTCGTACGAACCCTTCGTACAAACAAAAGTAAGAGAAATTTAGGATAAGAATACGAACATGTTCTTGCATGAGGCCCATTGTTACAACAAAGAAATAATCTAACAAACACATATTTCCTTACTTTTTGTGCTAATTTTAAATTACATTTTTAAATCAACACTGATGTTTTCCTACTTGGTGGACGTCTAACAAATTGAAATGGCTGAGTTGAAAGATTATTAATGTTTTTTATGCAGATAACCTTTAAGAATGAGGTGGGACAGTATGACCTGGAGGTGACCACCTTCCAGCTGGCGGTTCTGTTCGCCTGGAACCAGCGGCCGAGGGAACGGATCAGCTTTGAAAACCTCAAGTTGGCCACGGAGCTGCCCGACGCCGAGCTGCGGCGCACTCTCTGGGTAAAAACAGCGACTGAACAACAAAAACTTCCTTTTTTTTTTTTTTTATAGCCACATCTTCTGTAAACGACACACCTCTGCTCTTCTGTCCTCCCAGTCTTTGGTGGCGTTTCCCAAACTGAAGAGACAGGTTCTGCTTTACGACCCAGTTGTGTCGTCGCCCAAAGACTTTGCGGAGGGAACGTTATTCTACGTCAACCAGGAGTTTTCTCTCATGTAAGGAACCTGAAAATGTTTCAGCACGACTGACAGATTTTTAGCTTCAAGTCGAGGTTTTGTTCTCCTGATGCGTTAACTCTGCGATCGCTTATCGCCTTGAAGAAAAACGTTTTAATCAAACATCTTGTGCGATCTGTTAGGGCTCAAAGTATGTTTTAGAGATGACTCTCAGCTACTACCACACCCAATTGTTGCTTCAAATCTGTTAAATTGACAAAGTTGTGGCCATTGTTGTTTGCTATGGTCGATTAGCCGTGGCGACCATCTTGAATGGAGTTGATTCTGAAAGTTGAGCTGATTTCGAGTAAAATATTTCTCCCAGAACTTTTAGTTCCTGGTTTCTGCAAATGAAAAATATCTGCCAAAATATATAGGATTCTAAAACAGCCAAAAAAAATCACAGGTTTATATTTAATTCTTGTTTTATTGAACACCATGTGTCACATGGGTCAAACTGAAGGCCCGCTGGCCAAATCTGGCCCTTGTTATTGTTTTATCTGGCTCCAAAGGTAATACTTAAAATGTGAAATAGTTTTATGGTTTCTATTTTTTTCCAGTGACAGCTGGCCAACTTTCAATCCAAGAAAATGAAGTTTGACTTTTTCAATAATCTTTGATTTTGATGTGGAAAGAACCAGAGATATTTGACTTTAATTATCCT